ATTATATCGTGCATCCCTAAAAATAAGTGTACTTACCCTTAATTTCAGTGGGAAAATAAGATAATCTTCTAATGGAATGAGCATTTTTATCTTTAAAATAAGGTAATCAAATATTAAGCACTTGAAATAAGACACTGCAGTTATTTTCTTATTTCAAATGTAAATTGTCTTATCCCACTGGCAAAGTGTCTTACTTACCTGATCAATTCCAGAAAAAAAATATTTATTTTAAGAAACATTGACTTAGATTAACATTTCTTTAATCATATAAAGCCTGGAACTCAACACTATTTCTGACATTTTGAATTGAAAGAGCTTCCTGGATGTGAAGCGAAATTTCTTCAAACTTGGAAACAAAGTCCATTGGATTGTTTTTAATTTTATTTATTTCGGAATGACTATGTCCTGGATGACTGAAAATCTTCACCAGCAATAAACTGAGGTATTATTAGTTTAAGTTTGTGTTACACTGCAAAAAATGGAAATCTAATTAAGCAATTTTTACTTAAAATAAGTTTTTTTTTTCTCCAATTCAGTACGAAAGTGAGACACTTTGCCAATGGGACAAGACAATTTACATTTAAAATAAGAAAAAGCAATTGCATTGTCTTATTTCAAGTTCATATTATCTAATTATCTTATTTTAAGAGTAAAGATACTAATTTCATTGGCAAATCATCGTATTTACCCACTCAAATTAAGGGTAAATACACTTAATTTAAGACATTTTTACTTATTTCTAGATCATTTTTGCAGTGTATAAATGTTTTACTTGCTTTACTACCTGTTTATACCGTGTCTTTTCTTTACTCTGGTTTTATTCTCCTTCTATTTTATTGTTTATTTCACATAAATTACATCAAATTGTCATTGTGCTATAGAGATATATACATAAACTTGCCTTGCCCAAATTAAGGAACTTAAAGATTCTCAGATTGTATATATTTTTTCTGAACCCACTAAGCTTTAAAAAGATGTTTCCCTGCCTAATAAAATTTCCCTCATAAAATGTGATAAACTGAAGTAAATTCTAATGTAACAATGTTTAAAGCACAAGCTGTAAATTACAGCCATGCTTCATGTCCAGGCTATTCCAGGAATGCATGAAGTGGGTCATAAGCACAGGGGAAATCAGAAGATTATCTGGAACATTACAGCCTTTTCGGATTCAGTTTCATTTCAGATATGAAGACGTTTTTGTTAGACTGCTGTGCAGGAGTGAAGCAGAATGTCTGAGCTTAATAAACGATTGTCTACTGGTGCTACATGCTTGTTGAGGAAGGAGGGATTGCAGAACCCATCTTCAATGATTTTGCTTAGTAAGTTAAAAAATACAAACTCCTTATAGCAATATCTGACACCACAGAAAAGAAATAGGATGCAATATTTATTAGCTGCTGTCCTTAAAGTATCATGCCTAGCTGTCCTTAGAGGATATACCTGAGGCCTAAGAGTGGTTTGGACAGGAGATCAAGCTGATGTTGATAAATTATAATCAATATTTCTATTGAAATATTCAGCATTAGTGTCTTAATTATATACTTTCTTAAAATTGTGCAGCCCCAAGATTGATTAACCAAAGTTTGATCCTTTAAACTGGTAATAAACTGGAAAAGCAGGATTGTTTCCTAATGTATTATCTGCCCATTTAGGGAAACTTTACTAGACTGAAAATCTCCATCTTGTTCTCCCTGAGGTGAATATCAGGAAAACTAAAAACAGAAGTAGAATAAAGATTTCTGAAACGTAACGACTTTAGTGCCTGTTTTATCATGTCAGCTAGTATTAGTGATGATACATGCCATATGGAGATGATGAATTGATTATTAAATCAGACTAAATGTGATTTGAGCAGCAAAAAGCGTCTGCTGCTTCATTTTCGATACTCTTCCTAACTGTCAATCATTCTGGTGATATGTTTACGTAGGGCCATCATTCGTGCTCGTCCCGTTAGCTATATTTTTCTGCGCACTTTCAGGCGTATATCTGTGGTGAGCTACGGTTTCAGACAATCATTGAAGCTCAACTCTCTCACTGCGGTTCTTTGAAAATATCTGAGGGTCTGAAGTGTATGAGAAGAAAAGAAAGGTATGAGAAGAGGCAGATATATCCCAGAATGCTTTGTGCAGAGAGCTCTCCTACAAAGCATTATGGGATTTGCTGTCACAGCGGCCTAATAGTGACTAATAACAAAGATGGTGCAGGCACTGCACAGAGGACCAATGGAGAAGTGATCATCCGTCCGAACTGTCAGTTAACTGAATTCACTATATACTCCACTATATAGTCCAGCTCTATATAGTGATTGAGGGATTTAGGGAACAGCAACTTTTCAACAGAGCGTGCACGAGGAGAAATGGGCTTGTGCACGCTCTCGCACATGCATTTTTATTTAAAGTGGAGAGGGCGGGTCTATTAAAATACCGTATTTTCACACACATAAGGCGCACCGGACTATAGGGCGCGTTTTTTATATACAGGTACATGTCCTCTACTACCTTTAAATACCTCTACTGCGTATTTAAAAATACAGCGGGGGCAAAACTGAGTATGACTGTGCTTTATTCATGTATTTATTACAAAGTATTAATCAAACCTGGCAGCTGGCCGTGAGACAGACACATCGCAGATGACACAGCGCTGTGGTCACTCCTAAATTAACTTAAAATCCTGAAACCTGCCGACGGAATATGTTCGCTTTTATTACCGTTATCCTGGTGCCTGCAGCTAAAATTATTTAGATGAAAAACACCTGCCAGCAGCCGCGGTGAGGCTGCTGTTGAAGGGATTTACTGTCGGCGCACCGCTGGTATGTGGGGGTCTGAGCGCCTCCGACAGAAATAGATAATCTGGATGAACTGACTGCAATTATTAAGTTTTCAGGTGCCCTTTCTCACTTAAAAACATATTAAAACTACTTTATTCCCACTGATCACAGCAAATATAGCTGCAAGATTTAGATTATTTAGATGAAAAAACACCTGCCAGCCGCTGCGGTGAAGAGGAGGAGACCCGCCCAGATGCTGCTGTTGAATTAAGTTTTCAGGTAGAAAAATAGAGCGGGAGCAAAACTGAGTATGATTGTGCTTTATTCATGTATTTATTACAAAGTATTAATCAAACCCATCAAAGTCATCATCCTCTGTTTCTGAATTAAACAGCTGCGCTAAATCAGACATGCCAGTTTCCCCATCTGCGCTGTCAGAGTCACTTTCCGTGCAGCGCGGCTCCTCAGAAATAATGCCGGCTTTTGCAAAAGCTTGAACAACAGAGCCAGCAGACACGTAGTAGTCCAAGCATCTACAATCCATCCTCAAACGGTGGCATAACTTGCCCGGCGCTGCCTTCCACTTATCCTGAAACTGTGGTCTCCGTCTGTCATCCATCGCTCCCACGCCGCTCGCAGCCTTACTTTGAACGGCCGCTTCACACCGATGTCGAGCGGTTGAAGCTCCTTTGTCAGACCCCCGGGATAACGGCGAGCACAGCATTCATTTGATTCACCTTTTTTTCAAATCGGCTGTGAGATGGGCACGCAGCGATGGTGATGCGTGGAAAAAACCAACTAGTCTTCTCAGATACACCTGCCTCAGCCACGCATCCATCCAGCCTTTTTCATCTAATATCATATGTCATCAGAGCGCTGTGTCTGTCTCGCTGTCAGCTCCCAGATCTGCTTCTCTGATTGGTTGATGCGGCGCGTCCAGCAGCAAAACTTCAATTTTTCCATCTCGAGCAGCAGCAGCGCGTTGGCGGTGCTTCAGATGCTTAAACGCTCCCGACGTGCTGCACCAAAACGCGCTGCAGGACCTTTTGCTGCACCTATACACCCGTCAACCATTGACTTTGCATGTAAACTCGCTGCTTCTGCTGCACCTGCTGGGTCCGGTTCACACCGATGTCGAGCGGTTGAACAGCGAGCACAGCGTTAATTTGTTTCCCCATGTTTTTCACATCAGCTGTGAGATGGGCACGCATGGAGTTACATATTAACAGCGATGGTGAGGGGTGGAAAAAAAAAACACCTGGTCTCCTTACATTCAGCCACTCTTTCATCATCTCCTCAATGAGGTGGTCTCAAAAGTCGCAGTTACAACACACATAGGGCGCACCGCACCATAGGGCGCACCGCACATTTTGAGGGAAAAAAAAGACGTTTAAGTGCGCCTTATAGTCGTGAAAATACGGTATTCGAAAAAATTAAATTCAATTGAATTCAGTTTATTTCTAAAGCGTCAATTCACAATACTTCATCTCAGGTCACTTTCCAGTTCACCAGATCATCCAGTCAGATTGATTCAAAGTTTTCTATCTGAGGAAAACCAGCTGATTGCATCGACTCATTGACTCTTCAGCAATCCCTCACACTAAGCATGCTTGTAGCGACAATGGAGAGGAAAAACTCCCTTTGAACAGGAAGAAACCTCCAGCAGAATCAGGCTCAGTGTGAGCGGCCATCTGCTGAGGCCCACTGGGGTTCAAGGAGACAGAAGCAGACATAGAAAAAGAAGCATAGATACAAAAGGCAGCTGTTAAAGGCGGCCCCGTCCAGGAAACAAACAGCCAGGCAGACGAGCTCCGAGCCAGCTCCCATGTCAGAGGATGAAGAGAGCACATCCAGTTAATCACAGTCAGAGAAACAGGACTACACTGGAAAACAGGCTGATCTGCAACATCTAGAAACAAAGGTGTTGATGGCAGCAGCACAGCTGATATTTCTCTCCAGGATGGAGTCACAGCCAAAAAAATACCAAAAACCTCCACAATACCTTTAAAGTCAGGTACCTCAAGAGCATCTTTGATGCTCCTAAAGGGCGTCAGGTAAACAAACCAAAAAAAAAAAATCTAGATGTTAACACATGTAGAGATGCTTAGAAAGAGAAAGGCCTTGATTTTCAATCTATAACTGCATTTTACTGCAGTACTAGCTTGAAGCAATGCTAGCTCATAAATTTAACATGTAAATATAATAATTAGGCTTAATGCTCTGGTTTACTTACATAGATGAGCCCTGAGTAGTATCGGTCTTTGAGATTGTGAAGCACCGACGCCTCATTCAAGCAAGTGAGTTCAGCCATGTCTTCCACCTTGGTAAACTTGGGGGGATTCATTTTCTGGATGTCATCCTTGTTGACCACCGCCTTCTTCCCGTTTTCCGCCAGCTCCACCACCACTTCATCGCCGCGCTCTTCGCGGATGCTCGCCGCTTCGAATCCGTTGCGCTCCGATGGGATCCAGACCAGCCTCTTGGCGGTCCAGTCGGCCTGAGCTGCGGGGTTGTAGACGACGGCGCGGTCCACAAAGAGGTACCGCTCTGGGTCATCCTGCCCGCTCCTCTGTGACATCGCTGCGGGGAAACCAGAAGTACAGCAATCTGGGTCACCTGCATGGGAGGAGAACATGAATGGAATTTTATTTATCATTCAGATTAAGGTGGAATTCAGAATAATAAAAAAAAAAACTCCTTCATAGCTGGGAAAGATTTGGGTTTCATCAGGTCACATATCTAAATAAATTATCATTTATCCATGTATTCATCCATGTATGATATACTTCTGTCTTTCATCTGTTTTCCTATCAGCCATCTATTTTTCATCTACCCGCTTATTTTCCATCTCTGTTTTTTGCAGTTTTCATATCTAAATGTGCTTCAGAAAAGTCGATGAATGTTTGAGCCTTATGAAACTCACTAATAGCCGAACTGGCCAGGTTCGTATTTTCCCATTCCTTGGGTGGCGAGCTATGAGTAAGCGTTAAGCCTCAGCCTAGAAAGAAGCACCTGCAACTTCCATCAGAAGTAAGAGCCGCTGCAGCTTGCTTCCCCCAACCCACACACATCCACATACCAACATCGCAATATCATTGATCACATCTCACAACCAAACTTTTGGGTCAATTATACATCCTCGTGGGGCTATATCTCTAATTTAATGCTTTTTAATGCTCTTAGAAATAATTTTAATGCCATCAACAAATACCCACACTGCAAAAACGATCTAGAAATAAGTAAAAATTCTTAAGTTAAGTGTATTCCCCCTAATTTGAGAAGGTAAATGAGATAGTTTGCCAATGGAATGAGTAATTTTACTCTTAAAATAAGATAATTAGATAAAATGCACTTGAAATAAGACAATGCAATTGTGTTTTCTTATTTTAAGTGTAAATTGTCTTGTTTCATTAGCAGAATGTCTCTTTTACCTCCTCAATTCAAGAACAAATGCACTTATTTTAAGAAAAAATTACTTATCTAGATTTAGATTTTTTGCAGTGCATGACTCTTATAAATACACGCACACATATACACTGCAAAAATGATCTAAAAATTAGTAAAAAAGTCTTAAAGTAAGTGTATTTACCCTTAATTTGAGTAGGTAAATAAGATGATTTGCCAATGGAATGAGTATTTTAACTCTTAAAATAAGATAAATAGATATTATACACTTGAAATAAGACAATGCAATAGTGTTTTTCTTATTTTAAATGTAAATTGTCTTGTTCCATTGGCAAAGTGTCTCACTTACCTCCTTAATTTAAGAAAAAATGCACTTAATTTAAGAAAAAATTACTTATTGAGATTTACATTTTTTGCAGTGTATATACACACAGATATACATATAGACATGTATACATATATACAAATATATATATATACATATATACAAATATATATATATATATATATATATATATATATATATATATATATATATATATATATATATATATATATATACAAATATATATATATATACACAAATATATATATATATATATATATACAAATATATATATATATATATATATACAAATATATATATATATATATACAAATATATATATATATACAAATATATATATATACAAATATATATATATACAAATATATATATATACAAATATATATATATACAAATATATATATATATATATATATATATGTCATCGTTATGCTACGAAATCCCCCGAAAATCCACGAAATGTTGCCATATTTTTATATGTTGATATATTGACGCGGTATCGATCTATTTTACTGACAAAATCTCACAAGAATTTGCAAAATATCACGAGAGTTTGTAACAGAACGATGAAATTTCACGAGATTTTGAAAGTAAAATAGATCGATACCGCGTTTTTAAAAATCAATTTGATATCAGCATATGAAAATATATTTGAGTTTATTATTTTTCAAAGTGTCAGAAATGGATAACAAAACTGCTATTTTCAATGACTACTTATTTTTGTCCAGCTTTAACATCGGTATCGATATCGGTTATCGGCTACATGAGTTTTAAAATATCGGCATATCGGATATCGGCCAAAATCCCAATATCGTGCATCCCTAAAGGATTCACAAAATCCACGGTTCGTTTTCGATTTACGGTTTCGTGGTCACGGTTTTCGGTTTCGGTTCGATACATGTTGATTGTTACACCGAAATCACATAAAAATTTATGAAATTAATGAAAAAATCCCCCCAAAAATAATGGATTGTAATTATTTTAAATGACCCTGGATCATTTCCGCATGCCCTCTACGATCTCCAAGGAACTCAGAGCGGACGGGAGCCACAGCGGAGGCTGTAGGCTTTGCTTTGTGCAGGCGGTCTTCTTCTTGTTTACTACTGGTGGTTGGCTTTGGTCGCAGTACCGCCACCTTCTGCTCTGGAGTGTAAACGCTTCGCCTATGAGAAAAAGGAGCAGCGCATGAACCGAACGCAACACACGCGAACCGAACCGAGACAGTCGAACCGAACGGTTCGGACGGTTTTCAGAAACCGTTCCATCCCTAATATATATATATACATACATACATACATATATATATATGTATATACACATACATACACACACATATACATGTATACATATATACACACGTATATATATTTATATATAAAACAAAGCAAAGTCCTTTGTTATCTTTACCATCAACAGGCTGCAGCCATGTGGAGACTGCAAACCATGCATGGATATAGTACGTTTTTTTTGTTTTTTTTCATTAAAAAATAAGAATAGAACTGACTGTCTGACCTTATTGTGTACAACAGTAAATTTATAAATATTTTTTCCTTTTCATATATTACACAATCCTGCACTTTAATACTGTGTGGAGTCTTATTAAGCATTCATTCAACCTTCTCCCAGAGCTGAACTTAGACCTTCTGATTATAGCTCTATTTTGTATATTTCTTATCTGTGTTTGCCTATATATGCTACACAAGCTCTATGTTCACAGCAGAATTTAAATAAATCCTATAAAAAATGGCTGAAATATACAAACATCTTCAACTCTGTCCCACAACCTGGAGGGATTTTCTGCATTTGTATATTGTTTTCTTTAGATCAAGATTTCTCTGTAAATTTTAGTCATTTCTGAGAATCATTTATAGATTAAATGTTTCGTTTTTATCATTGTTTGTTTATTTTCCACAGAGAATGATAATATATAGAAATTGATGTTGTCATTTGATAGGCCGGAGGTTTAACAGTCCAGTGATTGGTAAATGAACAGAGAAATCTCTCAGTAATGTCTATAATTGGATGGTATAATGACCGGCTACTTACATACATTCCCTGCATTATTCCAAATACGGCTCTGAGTGCAGCAATTTACTTCCACAAAGTGAGCTACAGAGTGGATAATAACTTGAAATTTGATGCTTTTACCAGTTCATTCCTAAATATGACAGAATGAATGGCCAGAGATATTACTACCTGCAATCTGATCTTAAAATAAAATAAGGAAGGGATTAGAATAAAATCTGGGGCAGATCATAGGACGGTGTATAAGTTTATGATTTATATGATTTATTTTCTGGCTTCTTTCACTCAGTCCTGTTTATCTCATCTGGCTCACAGTAAAACGGCTTTTCAACCCCAAACCGCTTGTTTATAAGAAATAATCTGTTTCGAACTACAGTTTTTTTTTTAGGATCAAGTATTTTAAAATATGATCCTACTATTATACTGGGCTGCATGTTTTTAATGTGGACTATATTTAATTTGCACAATATTAAAATGCACATGAATAGTAACATAAATGACTGTTAGAAGAGGCATTTAAAACGTAATGGTCTTACAGCCTCCATCTGTGGTTAACCGTGAATTACACTATTATAGAAAAGAATAAAAAGACACACATTTAGAAATATTAATCAACAACAAATGATTAAAATTAATTTATTTAAAATAGGACATACAAAAAGAGAAAAATTGAAGTAAGAAACCCTGATTTTACCTGAGCTAAAATTTAAACATAAATTTCATAAAAATATATATACCTTTAAACTTATATTTGTATGTTTTTATCCATGTACAAAAATAGATGTGATTTCTCTGCAAATCCCAAATATAGATGATTAGATATAATGATATGTATTGAAGTCTGTATGTATAGTTCTGACTGTATATAAATGAGAGAAGATTCACAAGAAATAAAAAGTTTTTTTTCAGAAATCTATTTGAACCCATTTTTGCAGTTGCCAGGCTACAGCCAGGGCTTGTTGCCATTTTCTCAGTTATAGACCAACAGAAAAAAGGGGGGGACCTGCATGAAACGAAACCCCTTTATTATATATTCTAAGCTGCCCCCAACAGGTTTTCCTCCAGGATTTCCATGTATTTAAATACCAGCTTCTGAAACAGCTTTTCCACAGTATGATGCTGTCATAAATGTATGCCTTGATGCTAATATTTTGTTAGCTGTCAGAACTCAGTCAGAATTCCGAGATTAAAGTCAGAATTCTGAGGAAAAAAGTCAGAATTCTGAGGAAAAAAAGTCAGAATTCTGAGGAAAAGAGTCAGAATTTTGAGAAAAAAGTCAGAATTCTGAGGAAAAAAGTCAGAATTTTGAGAAAAAAGTCAGAATTTTGAGAAAAAAGTCAGAATTCTGAGGAAAAAAGTCAGAATTCTGAGGAAAAGAGTCAGAATTTTGAGAAAAAAGTCAGAATTCTGAGGAAAAAAGTCAGAATTTTGAGAAAAAAGTCAGAATTCTGAGGAAAAAAGTCAGAATTTTGAGAAAAAAGTCAGAATTCTGAGGAAAAAAGTCAGAATTCTGAGGAAAAAAGTCAGAATTCTGAGGAAAAGAGTCAGAATTCTGAGGAAAAGAGTCAGAATTTTGAGAAAAAAGTCAGAATTCTGAGGAAAAAAGTCAGAATTTTGAGAAAAAAGTCAGAATTCTGAGGAGAAAAAAGTCAGAATTCTGAGGAGAAAAAAGTCAGAATTTTGAGAAAAAAGTCAGAATTCTGAGGAAAAGAGTCAGAATTTTGAGAAAAAAGTCAGAATTCTGAGGAAAAGAGTCAGAATTCTAAAGAAAAAAAAGTCAGAATTCTGAGGAGAAAAAAAGTCAGAATTGTGAGGAAAAAAAGTCAGAATTTTGAGAAAAAAGTCAGAATTCTGAGAAAAAAGTCAGAATTCTGAGAAAAAAGTCAGAATTCTGAGAAAAAAGTCAGAATTCTGAGAAAAAAAAGTCAGAATTGTGAGAAAAAAAAGTCAGAATTATGAGGAAAAAAAGTCAGAATTATGAGGAAAAAGTCAGAATTTTGAGAAAAAAGTCAGAATTTTGAGAAAAAAGTCAGAATTCTGAGAAAAAAGTCAGAATTTTGAGAAAAAAGTCAGAATTCTGAGAAAAAAGTCAGAATTCTGAGGAAAAGAGTCAGAATTCTGAGAAAAAAGTCAGAATTCTGAGGAGAAAAAATTCAGAATTCTGAGGAGAAAAAAAGTCAGAATTGTGAGAAAAAAAAGTCAGAATTATGAGGAAAAAGTCAGAATTTTGAGAAAAAAGTCAGAATTTTGAGAAAAAAGTCAGAATTCTGAGAAAAAAGTCAGAATTCTGAGAAAAAAGTCAGAATTCTGAGGAAAAAGTCAGAATTCTGAGAAAAAAGTCAGAATTCTGAGAAAAAAGTCAGAATTCTGAGGAAAAAGTCAGAATTCTGAGAAAAAAGTCAGAATTCTGAGGAAAAGAGTCAGAATTCTGAGATTAAAGAAAGAATTCTGACTTTTTCCCCATATTGAACCGAAATAATATTTAAAAATCAGTTACCTTTTATTTCCAGTGGCCCTGATCATCTAAAAAGAAAGAAGCTTATATTCTATATAAACATGAGTGGCGGCCTCATCCTCTGTCCGGACAGGCCGAGCAGCTGCAGCGGCTAATCTAGCTGGCTAACGGCAGCTCAAAGTTGCCTGAGCCTCGGATCCCAGCTGCTCTAAAACAAGCCTCCCTCCACTCTGTCCATCACCACCTCAATATGCCTGCCTGCTGGAGGCTCACTTTCAATGCGCATATGATTATAAATGAATCTAAAATGCAATCTATTGAAAGCACATCATAGTTCTAGGATATATTTTAACCTCTAGAATCCCATCGTGGGTGTGGGTGGCTCAGAGACGTCTGGCTCAGGATAAAAGCAGGACAATGACCACGTCGCTTCACATCAGGCTCCTAAACAATAACGCTTTTTTATTAAACATCTAAACATTCTATCAAACCCAGTGGAAGAAGTTAGAAATATCCCAGAGGTTTAGCATTACCAGCGAACATTAGCAGAACTGAGGCTCCTCCATCATTAAAAAGTCACAATAATCCGCTAGCTAACGGAGGCTGCTGCTATCCGCTACATCCCACATTAAAGCTCTCCCTTCCCGGGCTTCTCTCCTCAACTTACCGCACGCGGGAGATGAATACGACCTGCCGCCGGTGGTTCTGGTCAGTTTCCAGTGAATAAACGTATAAATCCTTTAGCGTTCCCTTCCTTCAGCCGCGCTCTCATCAGTGGTACTCCCCCCACCATCCAGCACCTTCTCAACCGAACTCTAACCGGCCCGGGAGGATGCGCCGCACCGCCGCACTGCATTCCTTCCACAAGGAAACGCCCCCCAACACAAAGCTCTGCGTTGATTGGCTATCAAAGACTGCTGCTTATTCGGGATTGGTCCAAAATAAATTGTGGAATTCTTTCCATAAAGTTAGTTGTTTTCGTTAGAAAAGACAAACACATGATAAAATCAAGTAATATCCAGCCAGTATTGACATATAATTGAAGTTAAACCAGTTAAAGCTTTAAAAAGTTATAATTCTTGTGCTTTACACTGCTTGAAATTATTCATTGAAATTGTGCCCTTTTTTGCTTTAAGATGTCATTATTATTGCCCAGTATCTAGACTAAATGCAGATCGTTGGTGATAACAAAGCCTACAATCGTTGACAAAGGTTACATTTAATTATAAGCCCAACATGTCCATCTGAAAGACCCTGAATGCAGAGCTCTTTAGAGGGTACGTGTCTAGGAAACGCCTTCAACAGAAAGCTCTGCGTTGATTGGCTGTCAAAGACTGCTGCTTATTCGGGATTGGTCCAAAATAAATAGTGGAATTCTAACCATAAAGTTAGTTGTTTTCGTTAGGAAAGACAAACACATGATAAAATCAAGTAATATCCAGCTAGTAATGACATATAATTAATGTTGAAGCAGTTAAAGCATACAAAAAGTACATTTTTCTAGTCCTTTACACTCTACTTGAAATTGTTTGTCCCTGTTTTGCATTAAAATGTCATTACTAATGCCCAGTATCTGGACTAAATGCAGATCATTGGTGATAACAAAGCCTACAATCGTTGACAAAATTTACATTTAATTATAAGCCCAACATGTCCATTTGAAAGACCCTGATTATAAAGCTCTTTTGAGGGTGATGCATTCTTTTTTACGTGTCTAATTTAATATTTTCATACTAAAGTTCACTCTTGACTGTATAAATGCACCAGGACAATTTTCTGTAATTTTTTTTATTTATTTATTTGGCCAGTGTTGATATACATATACCACTCGTACAAAAGTTAGAAAACAATCTATTAACTGTTTGATATTCCATCTTGATAATAATAGTTTCAAAAAAATTGTAATAAGATCATAAAATAAATGTAAATTGTAAAAGAGTCTTGTCTTGAATATATAGCAAAGAGTTATAGAAACAGCCACACTGTTAAGTTTTTAATCTCCTCAGTTTATTTCAATATAACATATTCATACGAATTTGATGGCATAATTTTGAAAGACATAATAAAATCGTATTTTTTTCGATAATAAAAAACATTTTTCTTTTATTTGTGTATTTTATTTATTTTTCCAAATTTCCTCGGCCTCCCTAGTGCCCCCTGGTGGCAATCTACCCTTTATAGGGCACTCAGTGAAATACTTTAAAAATTAAAACTTCAAGCCACCTTTGTTACCTTTGTAATATTAAAAAAAATATGGATATTCTGATGGGAAACATTAATATCAATGTAATAACAAGAAACGCTAAGTTGCCCGAATATATTAGGAAAATAACAAAAGTGCTTCTATAAGAAATTTATTTAAAACACTCTGGGAGAGAAAGAAATGCATTAGATGCATTAATGCTGATACTGGCACTTATATTATTTTAGTTTATAAACCTAAATATCATTGTTAACTAGGCTTATCAACTTTTTAACTTTTCAAATAGCTTTTTACCGTTTTTTGCTTCACTTGTTAACTTTTTTTCTCAGCTTCCAGTAGATAATCTATCATTCAAGGGCTCATCTAATTGGTCAAATGCCAAAATAAAATGTACAGCCATGTAGCAGGATATTTGCTGAATGGCTGGATATAGATCTTGTGCTTCTAGACCAGGGGTGGTCCATTTATAAGGGGTATGCAAGTGATCAAAAACGTTAACCTGTCCTATAAAAGGTTTAAATCACTGGGTTTAGGAAGGTATTCCTTATAAAAAAATAACCTATTTCGAACAAAAGTTGTTTTGTTTTTTTAGGATCCATTTATTTTATTATTATTATTTTTTATTATAAACAGGGCTCTAGGTATTTGATGTGGACTACATTTTATCAGCACAATATTTAAATGCCAATGAAGAGTAACATAAATGACAGTGTTAGAGGAGGCAATTAAAACTCAATGGTCTTGTAGGAGCCATAAATGAAAAGATGCTTTGATGTTCTTTGTCTGAGTTTATAGCTATTATTGTTTGGTTTTCATTTGTTGGTTTGTTTGTTTGTTTATAGTGGAATGGATCAATTAGATTTGGGAGAAGTTTTGTAATTGGAAATATTACTCACCTGTGGGAGTGTCACTGGTAGAGAGTGGGTGAGTGGGCCGCTGTTTTTTTTTTTTTTTTGTGGCCGCAATACAAATCACTGTAATCTATGTTGTGTCATGTTTGGTTTAAGGTTCCTAACCCACATGCAGAACACTCGGAAACAGGAGAAAAAGTTCAAAGGTTTATTGAACAACACAGTTGAATAAAGAACTGATCCAAGGGATTATCAGATCCGGGACTGGTCACGACTGGGTTCACTGCAGAGGGGGACAGAGTGGTTAGCTGAAGTCCAGGTAATTTGCAGGGTGAGAGAGTGCAGGAATGTACCTGATCTGGAGTTTGAGCTGAGCGGCAGAGAGGGGGAACCAGGAGGGTCCAGAGGCTGTTGGCAGGCTGAGGGCTTGGCGGAGGCAGAGCTTGGTTTGAGAGTTTGCAGGTAACAGGTTTGAGTTTCCCTTTCAAATTCTTCAGAGGGCGCGCAGGCAGGTCTTTGACAGGTTTGATTCTCCAGGGTTCTTCAAAGATAAGACTGACAGATTTACAACAGAGAAACTCTTCAAGGTTTCGGGCAGGATCTACCTGGGAAGCAGAGAGGACAAAACAGATTAGGTTCAGGTTCAGGTTTTCTGGGAGTCAGAGATTCAGACAGGCTGGTTGGCTCAGGCTTGCTAACCATAACTGGCAAACACTCTGGCGCTGGGGTGTAGCTCTCCGCCTCCTTAAGTACTGGTCTCCTGATGAGCAAACGAGCCGCAGGTGGTGCAGTCAGCTCCGGCTCCAGGAGACCTAGAACGCCCTCTGGTGGAGAAAAGTGGACAGACCTCCAGATCCCAACATGTTTGACAAGTTATACTTTGGATACGTTGTTTTCACCTTTTATGTGAATAAAGTTTACATCAGCACCATATTGATCTCAGCGGCTTCCTTTTTTTAAGGAGCTCGTCAGAAAAGGAACGGCTTGACCCTTAGCCTCTAACCATGATTTACACTACTATACAAAATAATAACGTCAACACACATTTACAAATGTTAATCATGAACAAATTATTAACATTAATTTATATCAAATAGGACATAAAACAAGAGAAGAATTAAAGTAAGAAAACCTGATTTTGTTTTTAGCCACATACAAAAATAGATGTGATTTCTCTGCAAATCCCAAATATACAGCTGATTAGACAGGATATGCATTAAAGTTGGGGCAGTGGATAGCACAGCTGCCATGCAGCAAAAAGGTTCTGGGTTTGATTCCCAGCACGGAGAATTTGCATGTTCACCCCGAGCATGCGTGGGTTCTCTCCGGGTACTCCGGCTTCCTCCCACAGTCCAAAAACATGACTGTTAGGTTAACTGGCTTCTCTAAATCCTCCTTAGGTATGAATGGTTGTTTCTGTGATGGACTGGTGACCTTTCTACGGTGGACCCCGCCTCTCACCTGTAGACAGCTGGAGATGGACACTAGCTCCCTCACACCCCACCGCCTGGGATAAGCATGATGGAAAATGGATGGATGTATTGAAGTCTGTATGTATAGTTCTGCATGTTAGTACACTTCAACTATGAGACGAAATGAGTTAAAAAAGTAGGTTGAGTTTGGAGTGTGAGTGTTTGAGGCTGTGACAGGTAGTTGTTTCACAAAACTTTTCCTTTACAACACGAGCTGCTCCACTCCTCTACAGTCTGGTGCAGAGGGTGGAAGGTGTTGTCCATGATAGATGGAAGCTTGGACAGCACCTTACTCTCAGCCACTTCCTCCTCCAGCCTTTCTCACCTCGTCTCTTTCTGTCCTACTCTGCGTTGCTAGGGGCCCAGCAGACAACAGTGCAGGGGTGTCAAACTGGTTCCAGAAAGGGCCATGTGGATGCAGGTTTTCGTTCCAACCAAGCAATAGCAACCAGACTCCAGTCATCTTATCAAGTAAGTCCAGTCTTAACATGATGACTTGATGAGATGACTGGAGTCTGGTGCGCTATTGCTTGGTTGAAACGCAAACCTGCAGCCACATGGCTGTTTCTGGAACCAGTTTGACATCCCTGGTGTAGAGGATGGCTGATGCCACTGCAGAGTCATGAAAGGTTTGAAGCAGGGGCCTGCTCACTCCAAAGGAGCTAAGCCTCCTCAGGAGGCGGAGGCAGCTCTGGCCCTTCTTGTACAGGGCATCGGTGTTATGAGTCCAGTCCAGGTTACTACTGCCTTAGACAGCAAAGCAAAATTAGAAAAAAGAAAAAAAAAAAACTTAAAAAATAGAAAGCTGGCTCCCTGGTTTAGTACAGAGCTGCACACTCTGAAGCAAAATGAGGGAAAACGGGGATCCTTCCTAAACTGGAAAAACATTTTACTGCTGTAGATGATGACCCTTTATAAAGCAAGAGCAGCATATTTCTCCTCATTAATAGAGGAGAATAAGAATAATCCTAGATATCTTTTTAATACAGTTGACAAAATCACCCAGAGCCATAGCTCTGTTGAACAGTCCATCCCACCTGCTCTTGGGAATATTTATTTTATGGGATTCTTTATAAATAAGATTGATTCTACTTGAAATAAGATCATTAACACCCCTCTAATTATGATTGTTTTATTTCTGGAAGGCAGCATCTGAGGTAACTTTAGAATCCTTAGTATGTTTATACTGTTTTCATCCAGTTGAACTTTCATAGTTTGCAAAATTATTGTCTTCATCTAAGCCTTCAACCGGTTATTTAAGGAAGTGTTTCCTCTGATCTCTTCCATTTTAGATGTGATTAATCTATC